GTACGTGTGGTATGCACTAATCCTCACACAGTGGTGCGGTAGTAGCAGTCCTGCGTAGCGAAGGGGTTAAGACTCATTTTGTTGGAGTAGATTGTACTGATCACTGTGTGAAACTACATTCTGGACACGCTTACTAATCAGTTTTTTTTTGGTGATTTGTCGCACAGAGAGGAGAGATTTCAAACTTCAAGTACCTCATGGCACTGAATACCATTGCGGGGCGCAGCTACAACGATCTCATGCAGTACCCAATCTTCCCATGGATACTCGCTGACTATGATTCAGAGGTACCGGGAGTGACTTATTTCTGCTTAAACAAATGCCGCGCTGTCACCATTAGTTGTGATTTGAATGATCTGTGGTCTTGAAACCGTGGGTTGTTTGAATGCACGCTCGACTTTTGCCGGGGCTGTTGAAATTGCACAGATAGTGAATGATAAATATCGCATGGGTTAAAAAGACATCCTTGCCTATATATTTGGCATTCTCAGACACAAAGACCTTGCTCAAGACATCAGATTCAGACCTTTCCTCGTGGTTTATATTTTTTGTAACTGTTAAAAAAAATTTTTTAGGAGCTACGTCTCAACAGAGCCGCGACATTCAGGGATCTGAGCAAGCCAATGGGAGCGCAGACAGAGGCCAGACTCCAGCAGTTCAGGAAACGCTATGACGAATGGGAGGACCCCACAGGTGAGAGGTCAAAGATGGACATGAATAGTCATCGACCTCGCATTAATCTGCAAGAACTAGTGCATGAATAGTTTGTGAAAAAAATAAGCGCTTATCGTATTTCATTTCAGTGGAAATAGTGCATTCAAACACAGAAAGCATTGCCACCTTCGTGGCTAGTCAACTCCAACGCAGGAGTGATTTTTGACAACTCATCTTGCCCGTGGACACACATGCAGCAACCTCACATGCTCGATCGGAGCGCACAGTTTTTTAGAACCAGTCACAGAATCTTCAGTTTAACTCCCTTGCACCAGGCCATGGCTGCTCCCAATACGTCCAGTTTACAAAAACCCCCGTTTGTATGGAGTCTCAGTGGATGTTCATTGGAGGGGCATTCGGTATAAAGTGAATGTTCTAGAGCAAAGTACAGAGTAGCGTCACAGTTGATACAATGTTGCCGTGGCGTTTTTCACGCACACATAAAGGACCCTTTGCTGTTACTGCACAGGCATGGCATCTGTAAGGTGATGCCATCATTGCACGTGAAACTGTTTCACTTGTGCTGCAAAGATCTATGTAAAGAGATCGCTGCAGTCTGTGCTACTTCCATTTCTGAACTGCTTTTTTTCAGAGGTGGATCCAACTCCACAGAGCTGCCAAAGTCATGGTACATGTGCATTACCATGACTTTGGCGCCAGTAACCAGTTTTTGCTTAGTAGTGTACTTACCAAGTTTTTCAGCTTTTAGTAACTGCCCTGGCCCTGAGCGATCAACACTTTAAAAACTTGAATGTTTCTTGTCATAGTTTCAGTTCGTTGTTTTTTTATAACACCTCAACCTCAGATTCTGTATCTTGAGTGACAGAGAGCTTGTCACATGACAGTCTCCGTTTTTCAGTCTCGCATTTCATGGCCAAAAGAAGTATACCCCCAGCAAACAAAGTACCATGCCCGGAGCAATCTAAGAACTATCCGTATGACCACCGACGTGCGGAAATACATACTGGTTTGCCATAGCACAACGTCCAAAGTGCTAGCGCTGCAGAGCTTGGTTCAGACATTACATGAAGAGGTATTTTGGAAAAGGGGTGTAAAATTTCCAACAACTTTGGCATTCAAATAGGCAAACCTTTTGTATGTATTTAGATCAAATTTATCACATTTTCACTTAAGACCAGCCGAATCTTTGGAACAGGTAAAACAATTGTTGACTTGTTTATCTCATGGTCTCGTAAAACTTGTCTCCTGTGGTGATCCATGCTTCATGGATCACTACAGGAGACAAGTTTTACTGCACTTTTTCGAAGCAGTCAGTACGTGCGTGCTGTAGCACTCACAATGCACTTGTAAACATTATGAAGTAATTCTTCATTGATGGATAACTGATTTGTATTTGCGTTTGTCCGCTTTGAAGCCTTTTCTTCCCTTTTAGGTGGATCGGTTGGCGACTTCCAAGGTATTTTTAAAAAATTTTTTGGCCCATTTTTCTGACTGGGTATCAAAGTGAGCTTTCGAATAAAACCACCCACAAACTCCTGCAAATTCAACCCCATCGGTGCAATTTATCACGGCTGCATTCTCATATTTTGGCAAAGGTTCTGGAAGGGGCATTGGTTTCTGAAAATAACGCATGAAATTGGGCTTAATTTCTACTTTCTCAGTTCACTGCGTTTTTATTTTTTAATGGTTGAAATGGGTTTTTTGAATTCTGAAAACTTGAAATTACTGAGCGAATTTGAAAGCTGTGCCACAAACCATTTTGCAAATATTTATTTAGTTTTATTTTTAATAGTTTGCTGGCTTTTAGCTACTTGAATGTTATGACTTTTTCATATTTATCCTTATTTCATTTCAAAAATGGTGCTAGCCTGCAAACGTGCTTAAGATTTTTTTTTCCGTTTTTAGTTGAACTATTTTGGTTTGAGAAGTTTTTTCCCACATAGAAATTGTGGCCATGGGTTTGAATTTGTTGCAAGTGTATCATGTAGGCAGGACTACATATATCTAACATCATTCCAGTACTACTGCTGTGCACCTCATTTTCTGTTTTTTTAACCGGCACCGGACATCTTCAAAACATTATCGCAAGAGTTGGAACAGAATCCAATAAGAGGAGGGGAAAACCTGCTTCGGGGTATTTTGAGCAGGGCTTTGCTCTGCTGGTCACGCAGTGTATCAGCGCCGTCCACACCGGGTCCCTAACTAGCCAACCGTCTCATGTAACGCGTTTGGATCATGTTGTCTGTTGTTGTAAGCAGGAGGTCACGGGTTCGGGGTCATTTTGGAGTTGAAACAGGTAGTGGCTTGGAGAGCACTGAACTTAAAGTGATTAAATAAGATTTCTGGCTGGGCAGATTCTAGACGACACGAAAACATTTTCTTGGGTACTTTCTCTCATTAGTTGGCCAAAGAAAAATTCCAGAATGGCTCAGATTTTACACTTCAGTGCAGTATAATTTTCACATTACATGTAAATCTGAAAGAGTTGAATTCCCTTATTGGAGGAGTGTTTATTTAATTACTGAGTTGCACCTGTAGCCAGTGTAATTTAATGAGCACTGCGTCTGCAATGCTGTCTTGGTACTGGGCTGTCTGGGGAAAGAGAAACCAGCTCTCAGACAACACCTAATAGTTGAGGGCTCATTAAATTCCATTTGGGAAGGGCAAAACACAACATTTAAATCTGAAAGTAACTCCATGCAGAAGGACCCTATCTTCTTGGTGGCTTATTTTTTCCTGGCTCTCTGCAGTGTGGGGAACCAGTGCGGGCTTTGGGTGGAAGCAGTCTGTTTAGTGAGCCCGGGTGACTGTTCTGAATCAGTTTTCACAGTTCGACCAGAAATTAAACCTGAAAGTCCTTGATCCTCCAATTTCCGCTTAATTTTTCCTGCACCCAAGGGAATTCAGGGTTAAACTCTTGCTTCCTATTCAAATTGGATCTTTCTTTCCAAGTCTACAGATATGCGAAGCTTATTCTTCAGCGTAGGGATATCAACTTCTTCATGTGATCATTTTTTTGTCAATTATTCATTTGTTTGTTCACTTTTAATAAGATCCCTCAGCATCCTAAAACAGACTTCTGACATTTCTCCTCTGCTGATAACCTCAGATATTTTGATATTTTCACATTCTAAAAACCACGAACAACATACCTAATCCATACAACACACTGACATTTCAACAAAGTGGTCCCTCTGAGTTCACCCAGACAGTTCAGTTTACACGGCTACGTCTCTCTGGAAAGAAAACATATATTCAAAAATTCTTATTTGTCAATTTCTTATGGGGCTCATAATGACTGTTTCTCAGTATTATTCAATGTGACTTACTCAGATCAGGCCAGAAGAAAAGCTGTAACAATCTGTGTTTACCATTCTAACTTGCACAAGTGCCAGGATTGGGCAGAGTTCTGGACTTCTCACAAAATGGTCTCGCAAATTTTGATAGATTATCCCTCTGTTGAAATGTTGACAGGTTATAAGGCAACTTTGCTGTGAAAATGTTACTCATACAAGGCAATTCGGAAAGGAAGAAAGCATTTGTATGGGAGGGGAGGACGGTCAAGGAAAATTGCGACTTTTAGGGCGGAAGAATCTCCCTGATGCCAGTGCATACAGATTTGATTGTCTGGGTATTTCTGAGTGATGTCTCGAACCGAGTTGTAAAGACTTAAGAGTCCTTAGCTTGATTTAAGTCAATTTGTGGTGACTCGAGTCCCATTTAGTGACTAACTCGAGTCGCTGCTGTTGGCACATTTCACGATAAGTACTTTTGGACACCTCACAATTCTGGATGGGTTGGTGTGGTTTTAATGGCTCTTGTCTGGTATCCCACTCCACAGCAGGCTTGTATGGTGGAATTTTTCAGTCCTTATGTGACAATCTGGGTTCTCTTATTCTGCACACTACCCCTGGGATTGTCCATGAAGTCTCCAACCCAGAATTTATCCTTTTGCTGTCCTCTGATTCCAACCCATTGATTAGAATAGACTTTCTGCTGTGCTCTTGGTTAATGAAACAGGCAAACATAAATGTGAGAATGGAAAGAGCTAGTTTGTGCCCTGTTTGCAAAGTTCCATTTCAAAACTCCCTTTAATTTCTTGGTCTAATCTGTGCATTTGCCGTGTTTATAGACAAAGTCCAGCCTGCAGAAGACTGAGTAACAATATCAGTATTAGCAGCGGAGAGAGAAATGGATAGTGCACAAGATTGTTGTGGAAATCAAGAGCGTTTATTCCCTCAAACGTCTTTAGTTGGCACCAGTGTCAGTTTGTTTTTCTTCAAATTTTGTGAAATTATGGTCCATTCGTGATTTGAAAAAAAATTCCATTTGCCATTCAGAGAAGCCACATTGCATATGCTTGGAATTTAGAATGAAAACGTTCCCAACCATGTTTGTTGGTGCATTACCCAATGCCACTAGGCTTCGGCCAGCATTTCTCTTTCCGTCAGTTTGAGATTGTGGAACAATTTTTTGCCCTCCCCCATCAGGTGAGACTCCGCCCTATTACTACGGCACCCATTACTCCTGTGCTATGATTGTAGCCTCCATGCTGGTTCGGATGGAGCCATTCACCCAACATTTCCTGAGGTTACAGGTGAGTGGAAGAGATCACTTGATAGGGAGCTTGCTGTTTACAAAAAAATAACAAACATGGTAAAAGTTGTCAAGCAATGCGGAGATTGTAGATCCAAAGTGTCATGTCAGTTGTCACGATGATGGCCCTATGCATTGCCTAGTTGGCTAAAACGTCAAAAAGCAAAAGCATGGTGGACATCATTCAGTGACTTTTTTGTAAAGTTGTTATCTTGGCAACTGACAAAAGGTGGCATTCAGTGTGGCTCTCCATTGTTCATCTCAACAGTTGGCATGACACTGCTCTTGTCAGTGATGTAAGTTCCCTTTGAGGAACCTGTTTTAATTTTCCTTGAAGTTTGAGATATTTTGATACCATATATATGTATGTGAATACATCCTGCAGTACCCCAAATCTCAGGCAGGAATGTTGCGGCCCACATTACCTTTAAATTCCTGGGTGATTTGCGACAACTGTTCTTGATATGTTCAATTTTTTGGATGAATCATATCCCTTTGCTGTGGATTCCAGGGTGGTCATTTTGACCTGGCTGATCGTATGTTCCATAGCATCAAGGACGCGTGGTTGTCAGCCTCGGAGCGCAACATTGCCGACGTTAAGGAACTCACCCCTGAGTTCTTTTATCTTCCTGAGTTGTTGACCAATCATAACAATTTTGATCATATCCCTTTGCTGTGGATTCCAGGGTGGTCATTTTGACCTGGCTGATCGTATGTTCCATAGCATCAAGGACGCGTGGTTGTCAGCCTCGGAGCGCAACATTGCCGACGTCAAGGAACTTACGCCTGAGTTCTTTTATCTTCCTGAGTTGTTGACCAATCATAACAATTTTGATCTAGGTGAGGAAATGCATTGGCGTAAAATAATTTTACCTTTTGGTTTTATTTTTGGGGCTTTTCTTTAGTTAGTTGTGTGGGTTTTTAAGTGGGCTCTTTTGTCTTTCATCTTGGCCTTCTGACATTGCCCAAGTAATTGACAAGGTAGTTTGGTGTTCATTGAGATGAGTGCCCAGCTGCAGACTCTAACCCATTTAGAGTGAACTTTGATGGATGGATAAGAGTTTGTGCTGCTGTTTTTGTAGGCGTGAAGCAGAACGGCGTTGAGCTGGGGGACGTCATCTTGCCACCGTGGGCCAAGGGAGATCCGCGGGAGTTCATCAGGATGCATCGTGAGGTGGGTACCCTGCCTCGTTAAGGGCAGTGGAAACACTACAGAAGACCAGGGCAAAAGAGCGGTCACAAGGACAGGTTCAGTGGAATGCGTCTGCTGCAGTTTGAGCCGCTTATGACGTGAATTCAGACCGGAGGGTCTCATGATGGCCTTGCTGGGTCATACATGGGTCTCAGTGGAAGAACTAGCCCAACTCAGAAACAGTTGTCACCAGTCAGCTTTGCTTGACCCCAGCAGAAACTAATGACCATTGGCGTACGTGATAACTATCTCATTACCAGAGAAACATCCGTCCACCAAGAAGTTAATGTATAGGGGCAGTTTTTTTTTTATTATTGTGGGACAGTGGTCTATAACTGTGCCCCAAGTGACTTTCCTTTTGCACAGCCACTTAGTAACTTTTTTCTCTTTTTGTACATGAAATTCTTTGCATGTTGTCTTGTGAAAGTGGCTGGCAAATTTCCAGGTGTTTAGCAGTATGCATAAACATGGACTGCTAGATAATCACTTTGCAGAGCTGTCTGTGACCTGATCCCACAAAATGAATCTTAAGGCCTTTTTTTTTCAGTAATCCCATTTTGGTTACACTTGAAGGAGCTAACTGAGCTTTTCATTGGGACATATCAATCAGTGTGTCATGATGAAAATGAACCTCATGTGGCGAACAGAGTTCCTGTTGATTTACACTGTGTAAGGCTGCATCCGAATCTGTTGTCTAGAGCTAGGTCTAGGTCTTCCCTCCATTGGAAATGTGCAGAGATGTGTAGACAATAGACCTAGCCGTAGCTCTGGAAGCCCGTTTCGGACACGGCCTATGATTCCTTCAGAAGCCTGTAACTCACATGACTTGTGCCTGTCACATGACTTGTGACTCATTTTGTTATGTTGGGTCAGACATATGTGCTTGAAGTCGGCCCTGAAATTAAGAAAATAAAGGGGAGGGGTCCCTTTTAGGAAGACACTGCTTGGAGCGCTGGGCCATAAACGGCTTCTCTCCTGTGTTGCGACTTGCCCCTCCCCAGGCACTGGAGTGTGACTTTGTCAGCATGCACCTGCACGAGTGGATCGATCTCATCTTTGGCTACAAGCAGCAGGGCAAGGAAGCCGCCGAAGCCCACAATGTCTTCCACCATCTCTTCTACGAGGGCAACGTCGACATCTACAGCATCGACGATCCTCTCAAGAAGAACGCCACCATTGGGTTCATCAATAACTTTGGACAGATACCCAAGCAGGTGGGCAGAGTTTTTTACCTTTCGTTGTGGCCCCCTTTTACATTTTCACCAGGGTCACATTTTTGTTTTTTTTGCAAATTTAGGTGTGTCTGTTGCTTTGTGGAGGTGTCAGTCTGTGTGGTGGTCAGTATGACTTCGTGGCTTGGCCTTCCTAGTGTGAAGGGGGAATTTTCTTTGTTAAGAAATTCTGGACCGAGTTTTAGGGACAATTTGTTTCTGTAGCATTTTCGGCCCCCAAAAAATAGATGAAAAGATGAGTCTAGTCCCCACAACTACATACATGTGACAGTAAGGTCCACAGTTGACCAAATGTTCCTGATTGACAATACATCCAAACTATGTGAAAGGTCTTCTAAAAGTCTGAACAAAAGAAGATTAATGGGGGGTCTGTGATTGAAGGCATTTGCAAAGATACATGTTGTGTTTGTTTGTTTGTTTTTCTGTTGACTGGAAATGAAGTTATGCATCAATTCCATGATGCCATTTTGACTTTGATGGACTATTTTTCCCCACTTGTATGTTGTGCTGTTGGAATGTTTTGCTCTGAACTTTTTGTGAGAAGAGGGAGAGTACAAGAGAAGACTGCCGATTGGATTAAATAATTCAAGCATCGTTGCTGGAGTGCAAGAGGTCCTAGGCTGAGGTCTCAGCCGGGGCAGCTTGTATTCACATAGGCTGTCAGAAGCACCTAGCATACAGAGCAAACAATGAAGTGTTTAAATCTTGCATAGCAGGTCGTAGTTTACTCTGTCCTTATGTCTACTTATGGAAATGTTCAGTACCATTGTTTGCTTCCAATTTTCATCTCTCCCCAGCTGTTTAAGAGGCCGCATCCCCAGAAGAAAGTGAGCAACAAGATTGGCGATTCCAGCGGCAACGTCATTCCCATCAATCGACTGTTCTTCCACAACCTGGACACGCTCAGACCGTCGCTGCAGCCTCTGAAGGGTGAGGCCTCCCACGTATTCATGGCAGAATTTATGCCAATATGTTGAATTTTCTACAACTGTTTTAAGTGTTCGGTCTTTGTCAAACTGAATTTGCTGAGCATACAGAAAGTCTGGTGTTGTCAACTCTCACGCGTATGTTGGATCTTTGGCTGTTCAAAATGTGCTCAAAGAGCCAGAAAATCTCCATAGCGCTTTTCTTTAATGGGCACAATTCTTCTGCCAACACTTCAAGGATATCGCAAAAATTAAACAAACCACCAGAAAACAATGCCAATTAGACAGCTCCTTTTGTTGTATTTACAATGATAGAGCATTGAAGCAGAATCTAGGGGTCCTAGATTAGAATCCCTGTGCAATACCAACTTCTGGTCTTGTCTTACGCTTGCATCTGAACATTTTTTTTCTGGTCCGTGTTTACTCCCTCTCCCCCTCCCTGCCCACAGAGTTGAAGGGCCCCGTGGGCCAAATCATCCCCTTGGATCGCATCCTGCTGGCCGTGGAACAGAACAAGGTCCTCATCCCGCCCGTCTACAACCGCTTCCTGGCCTTCGGCTACGCCGACCTCAGCTTGCGCATCGGCAACTACGACTCGGACAAGGCCACCACGGTCTTTGAGGGGACGCAGAGTGGGCAGATCCAATGTGCTGCCTGCCCCAACACGCGGACGGTCATCACGGGAGGGGCCAGCACGGTGAGGAGTCGTTAAATTCCTGCCACTTCACTGAGGCATTTATAGTTTTTTCTTCTTGCTGCCACATGTATCAGTGCTGTACATGTACGTATTTCTGAGTCTGGACAAGAATTCCAAGTAATGCAGAGCCACCTTTTGAATCTGTGTAGGAACTATTGGGGGCGCTGTTTAGCTTCTACAAAACAGCCAAAGGGGTTTTCTAGAGTTCGTCGCAAGCTTTGTGAGGTGCATACAAACAAATTATGGAAGGTTCGCAGTAACACCATGAAAGCTAATAACTTGTTCAAGTTGTATGTTTTGAGAAGAACCCACTATTTCAATTTGTGTTGTCTTTAACACTGACTTGGACTTGTCTTTGGCATCGACTGCTTATAAAGTTGACTATAATATGATAATTTTTATACTTACTAAGCTGTATCTATCTGTTGACTTCTGTGCACATGCCTGGTGTGACTATCCCGTACAGTTGAATGCAAGTAAAAAAAACTTCCATCTCTTCACAGAAGACATGCAGGTCGAAGTTCCTCGTGCAAAATATGTCTTTGAACTGAGCTCAAAATTCCCCAGTGGAAAAACCTGGTGAAGTCAGAGATGGAGATGAATTTGAGACGTCAGTCACCCAGGCTTGCCAAAGTCAAGCCTCAAGTGAGGAATGTGCATAGTAGTGTGTGTACTCAGTATCTAATACGGGTGTTTTGCAAGAGTGTGCCTCCAAGAGTGTGCAACTCATTGGCCAATCACAATGAGCGAAATCTGTCGACCCAATGTGCGATTGGAAAGGGTGGACAGATTTTGCTCATTGTGATTGGCCAGTGCGTTGCAAACTTTCAAAGGCGTACTGTTGTGCAACACCCATATTGTATTGCACACAGACCAGTGTACAAAGTACAAGGATATGCACAATAGGGAAAGAGTTCATCAGGGTTCATTTGAACACCAAGTTTAACATCCTGATATACTGGGGTTTTTTGGGGGGGTTGGTTTCAGGTGGTGCACGTATGGCAGTTGGAGACACGTAAGGAACGAACCAAGCAGCTGTATCTCAAACAGGTAAGTCACCATCTCCCCCCACATCTCTAAACATTAACCCTCTTACCCCATGATGCACAGACAAGAAAAATCCAAGTTTCCCAACTACCTTTGCAGGCTGCTTATTGGTGCTTTCCCCAGTGTGCAGATTTCCGCACACTCTCAAGTACCTATGCTGCCTGCAATTGCTTAATTGTCGTGGCTTGAAGGCTCGTTTTTACTCGCTCCATAACATGGTGTAAACGAGTTTCTGTCGAAGGTAAACTCATGATCGGAGCGTTTACTGGAAACTTTTTATCAAGAATTAGGTAGGATATCTTCCCAGTCCTCCCTTGAAAAGGTTAAGAAGAGGAAAAAACTGTTTATTTGAATGAAGTAAAAATGTTATTTCTGAGAAGGAACTAGCACCCCCTCCTTGAATGGCAACTCTTTCTTCTTGTACATCTCTAGGCCCTGTATGGCCACAACGACGCGGTGACCTGCCTCGCCGTCTCCACGGCCTACAACATCATCGTCAGTGGTTCCAAGGACCAGACCTGCCTCATCTGGGATCTCAACCGTCTCATGTTCGTCAGGCAGCTCCGTGATCTGGGCGCGCCGGTGTCTGCGGTGGCCATCAACAACCTCACCGTAAGATGCCAGAAGTGTGTTTGTTTCATGTTGGTCCGTGTGCATACTGCACGGATACATAATTAAAGCACTGTTTAACCCCTTTGCACCGGGAACCGTTGACAGCCGCAGCTAGGTGTGAGGATTAGTGCATACCACACATACAGTCTATTCACCGTGCAGCTGCTGGTTCAATGGGGCCTGCTGATGGACAAAGCCCTCCATTCAGGGCATACCACAGCCCAGCAGTCACGGTCAAAAGAATTACCGGTGCGAAGGGGTTAATGTATCAGAGGCTTTGTCAAGCTGAAAAAGGCAAATGCAACAGTATTGTAGTTAAGACCAGATGGAGGACTAGACTCAAGACCTCCCCTAAGACCAGACACAAGACCATCTCGCGAGAGCAGTCACAAGGAACAGGGTGGACACTGACACAGGAAGGCTTTTGTTGCGGTTCATTTTGAATTGCTTGTGACTCGAATTCAGGCTGAATGTCTTCCGTTGATGTTGAGAGGATCTTTTGGAGTGTTGTGATTGGCTGAAGATGTCTTGACTAATCCTGAGTTGAATAGATTTGAACCCAAAAAGCAATCACGAAGTAGAGTGATTGGGGGGGGGGGATTTTGAAAACTTTCCTCCTCTAAGAGTAAAATATTCTGAAAGGCAAAGATTAATGACATAGGACTCACTCTGTCTTGACAACGTGACCCGAAGACATTTAAATGAAGACAAATTTTGATAAATAGGTTGTCATTTGAAAATCAGTGTTTATCATAGAGTTATCTTGTCCCACATTGTGCAAGTGTACAAAGCATCCTTTCTTTGTCTAAAGTTGATTGTTGATCAGACTGATCGGTCAGTTAATAATTGAAGTGCAAAAATGCGACGTTGAGTGGCCAAGACTTGCTCTACTATTACTCCAGCTAAGGTCAGTCATAGACAGTTCATTATATGATTAGTTGCAAGTGTTAGTTTCTGCTGTTGTCCATGTTGTTGGCAACAGTGAACTAAATTGTAAGAAGGCAGAAATTGGCCGAAGAACTGGGATGGTGCTTGCGCGGTGTGATCACCAGTGATGGCTGATTGATTGATACATGCAGAATTGTTACAAAATGACTACTTTTTGTTCGACCGATTGATTCTATTGACGACGGATTGATGACTGCCCTACCGCTTGCCCAGGGTGACATAGCGACCTGTGCAGGTGCTTTCCTGTATCTTTGGAGCATCAATGGCGACCTGGTGGCCAGTGTCAACACGTCGACTGGGCGAGACCAGAGGATACTGTGCTGCGCCATGTCGGAGGTAACCACCAACTGCTGTGCCCTGTATGTGGTTCCCTGTCTCCCCCAGACTCTGGCACTTTGGAAATTTAAAATTGAAGCTTGGGTTTGATTGGAATGACTTCTGAATCATTAACATGGGTGAAATCATGTCAGGTCTTGACTGATTTAACGCCATTACCCTTGAAGTTTGATTGAAAATCATGCATAGTCTTATTGGATTTGGCCTAACCAGGGTCAACATCGATAATCGCAGTTCTCTTCAGGCTTGCTAGCTACCATGCCAGTGGCACTTTTTAGGAATCCTCAATGAAAATAATTTCATTTTTCATGGTCAGTGTTGGCCAAATTCTAAACTTTGTTTTTCAAAGAGCGTTATTCTCTAGTGCACTTTTTGCTGTAGTCTGGAGTTTGTCCGAGTCAGATTTTGAACTTCAGGTCCACCTTTCTGAGTCTAACATTGTGACGAAGGGATGACAGAGAAAGTTCAAGTCTTGTCTTTTTTCCCTCACCATGCATCTTACAGTTGGTTGAGTGGGATCCCCTAAATGTGATCATGACAGGTTCCAGCGAGGGTGTGGTCAGGGTAAGTTTTATTGTAAAAGTGGATGTTGATGTTTGTACAGTACACAGAATGCCAGAAAATAATCTCGGCATGAAACGAGCTTAACTCTTAACCACTTCCTGCCGGGGACTCCGGGATCGGAGACGTATG